TTTTTTTTGAGCTGTTGCCTTTTCTATTGGTTTTGTACCGCTTGGATTTCAGTACTTTACTGTGCACTTTCTAAAAAGTTAAAAAAAGTAAATCGAATGTCTCAGAGAAAAAAGTAAATCGAATGTAATCTCAGAAAACAAACTGCGAATTCTGCAAAATGCAACAATTATGCGGGTCTTTATCCAACAGGATTAAGTAGGTTTGTAGACCCAGCTGAAAAAGGCCAATTCAGGTTCTGGAAAAGGGAGTTCTTTGGGTAAAGAACAATCTGCAAATGATGCGATTGCGGAATGGAGAGCGAAACAGGCATTGGGTGTGTTGTGATCAGATTTGCTATATCCTGCAAATGCATTTTGTAGTATGGAAATAGAAAATCCTCAAAGTTCTGGATAGTTTATGCCTGATAATCAGTTCTACCCATGTTCTGACTCAGTCTCTTTAGTGGCCAAAATTTTCGCGCATGGGTTCCCAAATGTGGTCCCAACCTTACAGATGATCCTTACCTTCCTCCTGTGTACTAAAACATATAACTGTCAATTAATGTATGTTTGCTGAATCGTTATGTAGTTGGTCTAATTAAGAATGCTCATTTCTTATCTGGAATCAAAAACTTGCTAAAACTTCCGCAAAGAAGGTTTTTCCCAAAAACCCACAGTTGTAATCTTCTTTCTATCCCCCTTTTCCTGCAACATATATGAACGCAACTTGCTTTCTGTATTTATTCATTTTAGCCATGAATACTGTCGCTCCGTCGTCGTCAGTTGCCTCGTTTTTCCGCTCCGGAAAACCAGAAGATCCACAAGCGGCTCTTTTGTTCTCTCTTCTTCAAGTCATGACTGCTTGCTTTGGAGGATTTGCGCATGGAGGTAACGATGTCAGGTACTGAACTTTTATTCGAGAGCATTTGTGGATATATCACGTTTTCTTCATTTTAGTAACGCTATCGCACCGTTGGCTTCGCTTTACGTCATCTATATGGAAGGGTCCGCTTTCCAGACGCTCGATACTCCTGTGTAAGTCGAATCTGTCATAAAGCCGGCTATAGCTAAAGTACAAGTTTTATAGGTATATCCTGCTGTATGGAGCTCTTGGAATGTGTATTGGATTATGGATGCTTGGACATCGTGTCATCTATACAGTGGGCGAAAATCTCACAAAAATCACACCTCCCAGGTAAGTTTTTGTCAAAAAAACTAAGGATTATGGGCAAGACCCTACAAGAGGTAGGCAAATGGGGTTTTCCAAAACGAATTCCCCTTTGATCCCAAAATTTT